GTTGAGGCTCCAGCGATCGAGGGCTGGAAGACGAACGAACATCCCAATTCCAGATTATGGGCATTATACTGAAAATTAAACAAGTCTCAAGAATTTATATGTAATTTTATGAAATCTTATCTATATCGCAAAGTTCATAGGTAGCTTTGATTAAAAACTTAATAAATGTATAATATTGATAAATAAAATGCACATTATTTTGTATAGATATGCACATTAAAAATACTCTCTCTGCAGAATGCAAAATTATATTAGATGTACATTAATGCATATGAGTATGTACATTAGTATAATAGCCTATTCAGCGCAATGACGAAAATACCCCCGCATGAATAATCCAAAGTACACATAATTACTACAATGCAAAAAACTATGGCACCATAGGATAGTTTTCTTATGGAGTCGTCAAACACTTAATGTATTGACACTTGTCTAAAGTGTATTTATTGTAGGACACATGTAAATACACGATTTGTGAATAACTGTGGATAACTCTATAGCAAAACTATACAACAATGACACCGCCCCTTTTGACCATATCTCAACCATTTGCTCGTGCCTGAAGAGTTGATATATTAAATTTGTTCGCTACCATACATTCTTATTTCTTTCAATATTACCCATTATCAATTAATTAAGTATATTATTTACGTATTTATTTATCCAATATAATTAATATATTTAGTATGAGTTACCAAAAATAAACAGAATATAATTGTGTAGAGTAAAATATAGCGAAAACGATAAAAAACCTTTATTTTGCTTTTAACTCTACTTAGAATAGAAAAATATTAGTAATCACAAATTGAACTAAATCAGAGTAAACTGTCAAAACGAAAAAATATTAGTAACATCAAATAACTCTAAGAAAAAATATGGTATAATAAACAAAAGCCTTCTTAATTAATATACTCCTATAAATCATACTTCACATCATTTTCCTAAAAGTACACATTCACAAAAATATGGAGAGAAGAAAATAAAGAAACACAAGACACCACAGATGTAATAATAATGTACAAGTATTTCAACAGGTCTAGCTCACCAAACAGATTCACAACTCTAACCGAAAACATCGGTTTAAGTAACCCGAGAAATACCGTAAATTTCCCCCCCCAAAAAAAAAACAGGATCCGATCCGCCACTACTCACCTCTGTGCTTGTTCCGAGGCGGGCCCACCACTGCCTAGAGGAGTCGTGGATACACTGCTTGAGGACCCGTTCTCGACAGGTGGCAGCACCCCCCACTTGCCTTCAGTTTCAAGGGGCTCAAACACGTGGACCGAGCCATCAGAGAGGCCTAACGCGAATTGGTTCGGTTCTTGAGGATGCGCAGCAATCACGAGCGGGTGCACGTTTGAACTGCTCGAGAGAGAAGTTCGATTCTTATTTTGTTTGTTTCCATATTATACTAAAGATATGTTCGGTAAATCTAGCTGATAAGCTAGTTTATAGCTTTTAAGTGAATTTCGAGCTTATAACTGATAGTTTATGACTTATGGCTAAAAACTTAGCTTATATGATAACACTGTTTGGTAGAATTAACTGAAATAAAAATTTCAACAAGCTTATTTGAAAAGCTAGCCAAGTAAAAGCTTATGAGATAAGCTCGAGTTTTTTTTTTTAAAAAAAAAAACAACTTTATAAGCTTATATGTTCGTCCTACCAAATAAAAATAAAATTTATTTAAATACAGGAAGTTTATAAGCTAATCAAATAAGCTACAAGATAGCTTATATGCTTACCACACACATCATAATACTATACACAAAAGAAAAAAAAAAAAAAAGTTTAGCTTAAGGTAGGAACTACGAAGGACTTGCCTGATGCTAGGAGCAAGATAAGCTGAAGGATTAATACGACATCTCAATCGTAGGTGTGAAGCCGTGAACACGCACACGGTTGCATCAAGAAAACAGGCGTACACGAGCTGGCTATCGCACGAGAATGTGGCATGCGATATAGGGGCAGCATTTTCTCGCTGGGCCCACTGGAATTTTTCAGAAAAAAAATGTGTATTAGTAAGAACTTGCCCCCCCAAAAAAAAATCTTGAGCAAGTCCCACGAGATAAAGTATAATAACAAGTAAATATATAATACCTGTTTGACACATTCTAGTTTTGTGGTGTCGTATATGGCGAGCTGGGTCTCGTGCACGACTAGGAAATGAATTTGGTCCTGATGAAACTGCACGCGTGTTTCGGATTGTACTCCAGGGGACCTTCCGGAAGGCAGCTGCAAGAATCTCGATCTCTGCTTTTCCCATCCATCAGAATTCCACACACAAATCTGGGCCAGGACAAATTATAAATAGAAATTAAGGAAAACGGGAACATTTACACGGGCCATTAACAAAGTTATAGATTATTATTAACCTGAGCATCAGCTCCTGATGAAACTAGCACGTTCAACACATGCGAGAAAGCAAGGCCTGTAATTCTTTTCGAGTGGCCTTTAAGCTTGCTTTTGACCTGACAATAATTTAAATAAATAAACAACCATGGAATCGAAAAATTTATAATATGTGAACTTGTGCAAATACCTCGTCTACTCGAACATTGTATATCTGAATCGTCGAATCATCCATCCCAATTGCAATAATATTATTATCTTGAGGATGAAAAGCTAAGAAAGTTGCCGCTGGTGGAGGTGGCATGAAAGTAGTCATCGTCTGCACAGAATTCATGATCAATTGCAACAGATTAGTTTCAAAAAAATAAAAATAAAAATGATAATGATTCAAAAATCCTCTCAATATTCATAAAACCGGTCACACCTTGAAAGTCATCATGTTAAACAAAGATATCTTTCCTCCGGATGCCGACATCACGTACGAGTCATTCTTGGACAGAGCAAAGCAAGAAACAGCTTCCTCTGGATTCGTCTCGGTTATTACATCATTGGTCATCAAAATCCCGCTTGACGGTTGCCATAGTTGAGGAGACACATTTGCGGTTGCCTATAATGTCAAAATACTTCTTTCAAGATAAATTTAAATTGTGAAATCAAGAGGGTGAAACTTTATTATTATTATTACGCTTTACCTTGCCGCTCGAATTGCGGTCATTTCGCTGCCATTTCCAGAGCAAATGGATTGCATTTGAAGCTAATGCCAATATTGCACTGCCCGAATTTGTATATATCAATCTCGATATCTGTTGTATCAACATAATCGAGCAAAAATTTTGTTAGTAACATTCGTTGCAATTTAAAGATAATGCAACATGATTTTGTTAACGATTTCAGAAAAGCACAACACACACAAGAAATTCAGATAAATATTGATACAGAATATTAAAACAACAAATAAAACATAAAAAGAGGATGGCTAACCTTTGTAACTCTTAAATTTTCCGGGAGCTTCAAGGACCGGCACTGAGAGGGCTCGTTAATCTCACTCAGCTTCCATATCTTCGACTTGTCGTTAGTTTCCTCAGTTATTCTAGGTTTCACGTTCGCAAGATTTCTTATGTCCCCATTCTATGAAAAATTCAAACACATTATGGTGAAATATGGTAGAAAAATTCAAACCAAGAACAAATGCCGAACAAAAGTAAGACAAAAATGGAGTTCCCTTGGGAAATATGGTGAAAAAGAAAAATCGACACTAACCATAGCTGAGATTCCAACAATCGAGCCCACCCTTTCAAGTCCTGCACTACTCGGTGCTGTGGCAGATAATGGATTTACAGTTGGCTGCACATTAACAAAAAACAAAGAAAAAAAGAAAAACAAAAACTTTCACTCGTCTTGGTTATTTATTTAAAGAGATAAAAAATAGGCCGCTCAGAAAAGACAGGAAAAAAAAACAAAAACAAAAAAAAACAAAACCTTGGCGGGCTCGGAAGCTCTTGAAGCATCAAAAGCAAGGTTCTCAAATGTCCTTAGCAACCTTAAACCATCACCATTGGCCAAAATCTTGATTCCATTTTCATTGGCTGATACAGCCAATAGGGTCCCATCTTTGTTGAAGCGAATCCGTGGACTCGCCTTCAAAACACACCAAAAAACCGAGGCTCAGTGCTGATATATAATTTCCGAGTCATGCATAATACCAAGTTACTGACAATTATAAAAACCCATTTACCTATACATATTTAAAATTGAGATACCGTTTTTTGTGTTTTAACATAATTAATTTAACCTTCATAAATTTTTATCAAGTTAAGACTCGACTCGACTCACAGGAAGGCCTCCATCAGCATCACTGCTCGTCAAAATCTGCATACTGTCCATATCCCAAAATTTGACCGAAAAATCATCACCGGCCGCTAAGAACCTATTCTTAGTCGTGTCAAACTGCACGACCCCTAAAGACCGCTTTCGAAACCCTTGGTAAGCCCTCTTCACAGCCCCTTCACTCTCGTTCCACTCGACAATGTGTGACTCGCCATCTTTACTGGTTCCACACGAGAAAAGCCTGCCCGAGTTTTTTTACATTAAACAAAAAACCACTCACGAGTAAAAACAGCACAATGGCTCGTGTATATATATATGTATGTACCTTGCTCCATCAGCACTGTAAGCCATGGTCGTGCACCATCGGCCGGGGGCATCATAATCGACTCGCGACCCCAAATTGTCGTATAACCAAGCTTTGATCTTTCCATCTAATGCTGTCGAAAAAATAAACTGGAACCATATGATTTAAAAAATGTATTAGTGTGTTATTATTAGTTTATTACTATCCATAGTTGTTGAAAACAAAAAGAATAACATATACGATTGTATCCACCTGAATATTCTCTTTGTGGTGGGGGCAGACTGAATAAACGGGGGCCTCGTGACCTTCGAAAGTGTACTGCTTGGTACCAGTTGCAGCATCCCAAACCTTTTTAAAAAAAAAATCGTAATATTAGTGAAGAA